TAGAAAACAAAAAAATCGGTTGTGCTTACCAGCAGCCATTTTTGGTAACAGAAGCCACTGCAGTGAAACTGAAATAGTGGAGAGAATGAAGGGGAAAACGGTTCTGTGATTCAATAAGTGTAAACCACAAACAACACGTGATTCGGTATGCACGGCTTAAATTTCTGAACGTGACAGGCAGAGGCCAGGAAGACATGAGCTATTCTGGATCCATCTGTGCCAGCTGTCTTCTCCAACCAGAAGTCATTGCCTCCTCACATCTGCCCACAGACTTAAACTGAGTGTTCCCTAGACATTTCAGTCAAAATAAGTTGGGCAAGAAGTAATTTGCTATTTTAACTACAAAGCTGGTCTGGTTATTTTGATTAGCATAGTTCAGACAGTATAAACTGGCCTTTCCATCAAGACGGCAGGAATCTTTTCTACCATCGTTCTGTTGTCCTCTTCTGGTTCAGCATACTGACACTGTGACTTACTATCAAATACTTGATCAAAGGCTCCGCATAAAGCTTGAGTGGATGCTCATTTGATGTTTATTATAATGGTTACCTGTTTATTTGCCAACATGCAGTTTTCAGCATGAACTGAAAAATTTTACTGTCAACTCCTATAAAGAACTTAACTACAGGATGAACTAGAAGCTAGATTAACAGGATTTAGCTGCTGAATGGAAAGTCAAAGTAAATTATCTCAATCATCAGAAGTTGCAAGCTGGATTTTTTGGACACAACTCCCATTGCTGGCAACCAATTACGCCAATTCTGACAGTCAGGAGCATCAAATGAAGAGCTACAGTATGAACATTCTTTACAGCAGTATGTACTTTTTCCTCATCATTGCATGGTTCCCATTATGAATGGGATGAACATTTCAGTCCTTTCCCCAATTACTCAAAACAGAGTATAAAAAAAATAGTTTGATGTCTACATTTTTGGATGTTTACAGGACACATAGGTGCACTTTCCTTTGTGTCTCAGCTCTAAAGGGCTGCTGAAGAAGCCATTCCCTTTCTACTTAAAAACCTCTCTGTAGCTGTTATCTCTCAGGACTCCTTCTCTTACCGAAGCATGCAATCATTCTCCTCTTTCCTCAGTCTGGCCTTCTTCAGATTCTTCCAGCTGGTGCTTCAGGAAAGAACAACAACAACAAAAAAGAACACCAACCAAACCCATAACTAAGTCACACAGGCCATAGCCCTCAAACTCTTACAACTTCCTCTCCTTCCCTGAAAAGGGTGGTATTTTCAAAGAGGAGAAACTTAACGTTCCTGTATATCATTTGAAACCAGAAAACAAAAGAACCCCAACTCTCATGCAAGGTCTTAAGTGTTTTTTTCTCCATCTCACACACATAATAAAAGAATTAAGGTGAAATTTCCCCTAAGTGCATAGATTAATGCTTACAAGATCCCTTTAATTGTTAGAGCAATTTGTAAACTAAAACCAAAGTGCAATAAAGAATGAATTTTAAATTGCTATATGTTTGCATATATTCATTATGCACGTCACCATATGTCAGGCAGAATCTCTGAAGGTAAATCTCAAATCAGTGATTACCACTGAAGCAACATGATGGAGAATAAAGTAGACAAGTAATATATTTAGCTTCATCCTATCTTTGTCCCTGGAGAAAAGTGTTCCTTCTAGTGTGAGAAGGGGAGGAGAAAAAATCCTTATGTGGTGTGTTAAAAAAAAAAAAAAACCAAACCAACCACACACTAGAAAATGAAGGCATGTTTTTCCCCAACACTGATGACCCACTTTAAACAGTGTTATATAACTATAAAATGAGATTATATTTGCCTTGCCATGGAATTAATCTTATGTTTTTCAGTCTGAAGCAAATCAGAGGGCTATTTTCCTCACCTGCCTACCACAGTCTTCTAAACTTTCTCAGTTTAAGTAATTCTGTCTCTCTCCATCTTTTCAAATCAATAAAAAGACAAATCTGGTCAGGAAATTTTGCACTTGGCTTAACTGTGCAAGGTTTGTATAATCTAAAACTATGTAGCTATGTTTAATACCTGTTACCCTCTTCTTATATTTTCATCAGTCCTGGAACCCTGGAATTCCACTATGCATGCTCTTTGGCATGTTCTCAAGCATGCACACTGAGCCTTACTCCCTCCAGTGCTGGGAACACAAGTCAGTTTCTTAGAAAACTTTAGTACAAACTAAAGCATTGTCATCAAATGAGATCCAGAAATGGATCCACTTCAGTATGCATCCTCTAAAAGGGCACATAAAACAACATTAGCAAATCTCTTTGCCACTGCACTAGAAACCAGCCTAGATGTTATTCATAGTTGTGTGGATGGAAGAGGAGAAAAGAAAAACAGGTCCCTTTAGCAGAAAATTTTGCAGTGTACAACTAAAAGCTCCTTCACACACTACAGAGATTAATATGATTTGAAAACACCACACATGTACAACAAAGTATCCATATATTTGTCAAATATTATCTGAATCACAGGGACGAGATTTCTAAGGCAGCTAAATCACACTTCCATTCAAACACATTAGCTTAGTTATCCAGTTAGTTCTCTAGTGTTTCAACAGGATAAATGCATTATAAGCAATATAAACGTAAGCATCAAGGCTTCCTTCCTCCTTCCCCCCAACATAAAAAAAAAAAAAAAGGCTCTAAAAATATCTCTAGTTATAGTAAGTGGTGCCATTAACAGCTGAAAATCAGCTGCTAAGGCTATAATCTAGGTAACATCTTTCCACTGTAGCTGCATCCTAAACTCTAGCCAACAACTACAGCAGGGCATGTGTTACTGCAAACCTTTTTAGCACCCTAAACCTAAATGGTTTCTGAAATCAGAAAGGAAATTCGATAGGCATTATTGTCCATCTCTAGAATGGTGACAGTGAAAAACTGTATTTTGAGCTAACGGGAAAATTAGGAGACTTCTCAGGAGAAACACAGTGATAGAAGGCTTGCCTCAAAAGCAGCTTCCATTAGTAGCAAGGGTGACATTTGGTTGCAGTATACCATACACTCTACCTAATATTTAATTAGGTGAAGAGCTCTTAGAAGACACTTGGTATCAAAAGTGCAAGCCCAGTACAATTATTTCTACTTGCTGATTTTCTTCTGGACCTCCAGAACATGTTCAGCATCCATTCACCCAGCTTGCATCAGGAAATATCTTCCCAGAACCAAGTTCATGCTAGCTAGGTAAAGGCACAAGACGTAATAACAACCCACAACTCTAAGACATGAATACTCATCTATAAATATGTACAAAAAAAAAAAAAGCATTCAGACAATCTTTTTGAAAGTTATTACAATCCAGCAGATAATGTAAATGCATATAAGGCTGCCAAAAAGATCACTTACAGCTCTGAGCAGAATTTAAATGGTCTTGAAACAGTACTGTAGTACTAGCAGAGAGGAAAAGAGAGACCACTATACTGACACTACCACAGCTGAATGGATTTCTTTACTGTTTAGTCATAGCTAATGAAGAGAAAAAAAGGCAGAGGAACAGATTTTGTAATATTATGAAAATACTAATTCCTTTCTACTCACTGGGGAAATGTGCTGGCAAACACATCTTTAAAAGATAAGTTGGTACAAAAAGCCTTTCTCTTTTAGACTCTATATCACTGGGCTACATTGATTTATCTTTGTAACAGCCAGGATTTGACAGATAACCTGCAGATAACTATTTAAGGCATTATCTTAAGCACATTTCAACATCCAGAGCAGTCCATTTGGTTTGTAAGCTACAACCACAAGGATCCAACACAGACTACCCTACCACTGTATCATATCTTAGCTTACTGGCTTACACCTCTGTTCCACTGCAGAAAGTAGATAAACCTGTATTTGAGCCACATGCATGCAGAGGATAACAGTATCTCTAATTAGAGGCAGGGAAAAAACAAACCCCAACAGTAGTCAGTCACTCGAGTTCATTAGGTCTGGTCTTAAAGAGAACTGTTCGTGCTAATAGCCTGACAAAAGAAAGAATGTATTTATTCAACAACATTTCCCTCTCTATTTCAGAGGGATATGATATTTCTTTCTACAGCTTTGTATCGCTCAATAGCTTCCAGGCTTTACTCCAACTTAGGCTGCTGTTTTAACGCTGAGTTTGGACTCAACACATGACTTGATGTTTAAGTCTGAAGAATGCTTTGGAAATAATCTCTATGCTCTTATAGTACCTATCTCAATCCAAAATTATTACTGCATACACTTATTTTGGCATATGACTTTTGAGTGGCTTTCATTTATTTTCCAAACCTTAGAAAATACCTCTCCCATTAACTGCATTGTTCCTGCTCTTCATAATCAAGTCTGCTTTACATTAGAGAGCAGTACCCAACCAGTTAATTTTAATGACTCCGTAAGAACTTCACCATCGCTATCACCAGATCTTCCTCTACCTATCATCCTGTAAGATGCTTTAGAATTGGAATGATTTTTCCTTCCTTTAGTTTAAAAAATAAAAAGTAACCCCAACTACTGCTTCAGGGCTCTAAGTATCTAGCTGCTACAACATTCACAGTGCCATATTAGACACCTAAAATCTGTATGCAATGAGAGTTGAAAGAGGGACTCAAAAAAGCCAGCTTACAAAAAAAGCATCTTAATTAGGAAAAGACAATAGTTAGCATGGATTTACCAAAAATTTCAGAAGACAGTATTCAAAAAGTTGTCTAAATTCAGATTTATTTGATGCCTTGTTCTGTTCAGCTTTCCTAAGTTCTAAATTGTCTCAGTGGTCTGTTAAAGTAGCAAACTTACATTTTCTCCATAATATTTTCATTTGTTTATCCTGGTTGGCTTTTTTTTCGGGGGGTATAACAACAGCCTTCTAAGAAATTCCTATACAAACATTCAGAATAATCAAGCCTAATATGTTATTGTAATAACATATTGAATATATTAGCAAAAATACAGAAGTCAATTCTGGTGTAAATAAACCCCAGGGAAGAAAAGTCTGCAGATCCAGACAAACTACAGGACACTCAGCAATCGCTCACCTCTTCAATGTGCTATTTTCATTTTCTGTAGATTCAAAGCTTGTGCAACATGGGCAGAGAGTCAGACCTTCAGTAAAAATGGCCTCAATCATTACAGACAGTTGCTTGAGGTCATTTGAAAAAGCCACATCAGAAAAAAGACAAGAAAGAGGATCTGTGTGAAAGAGGTATTGATGTGAAAGAGGTAAAGATGCAAGATCAACTGGCCTTCTGAAGGCATGCAATCCTTGCCTGAAATTATCTGTTTTGATAATTAGGTGGTGAGTGATCCAACAGAAAGGTTCTAGTTCATCTTGTATCTATTATTAGTTGGTTATAACAAAGACTCACCAAAATTGCACATACATCATTCAGAGACTTCATCAACTTTGACTTAATTTTACAGAAAAAAATCCATCCAGGTTTGCTGGGTGGGTTGGGCGAGATGAGGAGTTCTGCTTCAGTCCAATTCTAGAAGTCAATGAGTTCAGTAAATAAGTACATTTCCTAAATGATGTAATAAAGAAGCAGGTTACACAAACATGAGAAAGAATTTCAGAAGTACACTTTGGGGGATGGGAAGGAATGCATGAGGTAAAGCTTAAATGTAATGTATATGAAAAAATTTCAAGTCATATGATAAAATCTCATCCTTGAAGATTAGATGCTTGGAGAAAAAAGGCATTCAGAAGTCTGGATTAAGAAGATGATTTTGCTTCTTTCTGAGCACAGCAGAGGATACTCAAAAAACTTCTCACACATAACTGAAATCTAGCTTGACCAACAAGAAAACAAAAAACCCAAACCCAAAATAAGCATACATAGAATTGAGACAGCTGAACTTTACCACATCTGCTAAATAAGATCCTATATTCACTAACATCTTCACAGTCTAGTGTAAGGCTGTTGCCAGTGCTGAGCAGAACTGAAAATACATATGCTGCCTGCTTATCTCCTGAAGGCCAAATGAAAAGAGAGCACAACATGATTAGCCCTTCAGTTTTTTTAGAATGTGGAAGAGCAGAGGCAGTGGTAATAGCAATAATTAAGTAGCAGTGACAAAGAAAACATGCTTCAAATTACACAAAATAGAGGAGGAAGGAGACAGACACAAGCCAACACGGAAAGAAAAATATGACCAAAACCCTGAAACCTATTACACAGTATTCTGGAGAATTTCTAACACTTGTCCCTATTTTTTTTTTTTAATTATTTTTAATAATTTTTACCACTCAAACACTAGTATGCTTCATGTGATATTCTGAAGAAATTTGTATAAGGAAAAAAAGACCTTAACAAAGTAATAAATTGGACAACTGTCAGCAGTGCACTCAGCCACACATACAAGCCAAGCAAAAAAAAAGTATGCTAATAACATTTGACAGATTTCTTCCTCCATTTGTCAAATGCAAGGATGACAGAGCTGGTCAATACAAAATAAACAACGAAAAGTTTTTAATCCTGCCTTTTTGTGGCCCTGACAAACACTTTTATCCTGAACAACAGGCTTGATGCCCACAGTATAGGGAAGGTGGACATGCTGAGTGCTGTAAGGTTCCTAGAGTAATCTCTGCAAAACTAAAATGCTGCATCAGCCGCCTTTTTAATAAAATGCCAAATTTTAGTTATTTAAAGAATAAGGTGGGTGGCTATTTAAAAATACTCTGTAACTTGTGAAAGGGCAAGAGTACACCTTCATTAAAAACTCTTTTCATAATACAGATCCAAAATCAATAGGGTGAAATCTGAGTTGTATATCAGGAATGTATATGGAGAGAAGGTTTTTTTGTTTGGTTGTTGTTTTTTCTTTTTTTTAAATTGGGATAAAAAACCATAAAAATGTACATTGATCGTACTTAAGTAAGTCTTTTCGGAAAAAAGACATTAATTTGCTAGATAAAACTGGGGCCATTTGACCTACTGGATGGAGCATTAACGAATATTAACCCTCTGTTAACCTAACATTTTACAGAGTAATAAGAACACAATCTTCTAAATTAGACTGATGTTTAAACACACTAAGCCAGCACAGCCACTGAAAAAAGCATCTTTATCCCTCTCCAACCTCCTTCCCCAACCTATATGACCAAAAGGTGAAGAGGGCTAGGGAATGTTGTCATTCCGAAACATGAACGGCCAAATGCCAGAAAGCCATTTACAGCCACAACAGTTTGTCAGCCAGTTCGCTGCACTGCCACATAAATGCACTAATAGCAAATGGGGAAAGTTAGGTGTGAGGGCAAGAGATTAGTATGAAGGCACAAATTTTATCGAACTGCAGTCTTTGTGAAGACCAGGAAGACTAATGACAGTCCCACGTAAAAGCACCAGCAAATGCTGGTGTTAACTCTCCTCTGATCAGAGCACAGAACATTTGATTAGCATAAGGTGCTATGAATTATAAAACGGCGTTATAAGATTACTGAGTTACACAGAGTATTCTGAACACCATATTGTGAAGTACCAGATTATCGGTTGGGCAACAGAATTCAGGTTTGCCATATCCAACAGGAACAATACTCAAAGGCAGAACAAGACTTGAGGTACAAACATTCTGAGTAGAGACAAAGACAATTCCAACAAACCAGAGTGCTAATGGTGGATGGGGAAAAAAAAAAAAAAAAATCAGTTGTTCAAATACACGGGATATTGGTTTACATTCTTTCAACCCCAAATTATGAGAAATTAGATTCTTCAGATCTTCATCCAACACCCCTTTTCAGGTCTAAGAAATGCAAAATTTATGTAGAATAGCTTTCCCCATATATTTAATTTATAATACTACTTTTCAAGTACAGCTTTTTTAAAAGGTATCTTTTTTTTCCATTTATAAGACTCACTGTTTTCTTTGCTCTAGATGTGGCCACATGCATGCCAATATCTTAGTATGTAAGAACGTGTTCTTAGGCATGTTTCAAGTAGCTTAGTCAATACCAGCATTCTTCTGTAACATCACACAGCGCACAAGCTATGCATCCGGTACATACAGAAACTACTATGTCAGGAAATGAATCAAGGTACAAAGACTTTAATAGAAGCTGAACAGAAGCTAAACCTGTTGCAAGCTTTTGCTCTGCATCAGCCAGTACAGCCCTCAAAGGAAAGTTTAAGTGCACACTTGGGCCTTACTGTACTAGTTTCAATATACAGATCCAGAGGTTTAAATAGCATCAACTCAAGAAGTGCTTAAGTAAACTGCAATATGCCTTTTACAGCAGTACAGAACTTTACCCACTGCACTTAAATTCTAATTACATCATTACAAAAATCCGTTCCTTTCACTACAGGCCAATGGCACACTGAAACTACTGCAGGTGACATACTGACAGCATTGAAACAACTGCTCGTTCACTGGACATTCAGCAGCCAGCACGGATCAACTAGTGAACTAAAATTCCAACCTCCCAGTGGGCAAGTCTTATTTTAACAGAATTTCACCTCAGCTGCTAGTAAGCAGTGATTTGTAATGGAGTCCAGCAGAGATGCCAAAACCTTAATCATCTTCCAGCCTGAAGCTCTTCCTTGCTCCCTCAAATATTCTTAAACTTAGCGTGGTGAGAATTTTGGTAAGACGGGTTAGGTGAAAGTTACTGTAAACTTTTCCTCAAAGGAATCATGCATTGTCCTATATGGGTATCAATCCAGAACCCAAGGACAGTCACTTAAGAGACTCAAATATTTCATAAAGGTCAACAACTGGGGCCATAAAGTGAGTTAGATAAGCTTCCCCAGAAGCTTCAAACCACCACGATCTAGATTCAGACATCTATTAAATCACTTCGTCACACACTCATGCAACTCAGTTTCATTTCTCACACCATTAAAAAGTCAGATGCTTTTATTTTGCTGATTATCCAATTGCTTGAACATATGACTGCCAAGCTACTGGAAAAAATCTGGGAAAGTGTTCCAACAAGAACTACAGACTACTATCTTATGTATAAGGACACTCTGTATTTCTCTTTCAAGAGAAGTTACGACATCAAAATAAAGAAATTTTTTTTTTCTAGAACTGACTTATAAATAAGCTCAACTGGTATCTAAGAAAACAGCTATTAGAAATAACAATCTAATATTTTAAAGTATAACCATAACATATTCATTTAACTTGATTACAGGCTCTTAAAATTGGACTAAGCATCCAGAACTGGTTGACTTTATCTATAGAAAAATAGCTGTTAGCTAGAGAAGAAAAACCACTGGAAGCATCTGCAGCATTCTCCTCCTGCATGCTTTTTTCCAGTCTAGTAAAGTAGCTGCATAACACAAATAGATGTTAAGTGTAAACAGAATGATACTGCATTTCACCATGTTCTTGGAGAATCAATAATACTGATTGAGAAACTGCACTTCATGAAGAGAAATAGAGGGAGGGAAACTGTTCATTTTTACAAGAACTTACAAAAACAAATCAATGTGCTAAGGAACTGATTGGAATAATGTAGCTTTAATAATCTGGTCAAATATCCTGTACAGTCTAGGCTGAGCTCTGAGTGGTAAAGATTGAGAAATCTTTGTGTCTTTTTTTCACCCTCTACAGAGTGTTCCACATCCTTTTCCTGTTCTGTCAGATCAGGAAACACAAACACTGATTTCACTGACAGAATCCTACCAAAATACAGGAGTGACAGTTCTTAATTAAATCTAAGGAGAAAGAAAACCATTAGATATTCTAATTTAGCTTTATGTCTATTCAAATTTAAAGCCCAATTTCTAAATTTAGTTTGACTTCCACACAGTTGAGTTCTTCAAAAGCCCCTATAGAACAATCCATTTTGTTCAGTCCTCCAAATATTTTTTCCAGATTTTTTCCTGATCTCTCTGCAACTTTTCTCTACAATCCCTGCAAGAGGCACATATTTTAACATTTCCTACCTTAAATTCCATCAACATACAGAGACTGAGAAATAGTTATTTTTCTGCTCCTAATCACTGCTTGTGAGTACACCTCAAAGACCTCCACCACCCGAGCATCAAATTGGGGCCTTACTTGGACTGCTTGCCCACTTGTTTTTTAAACATCTTACTGCTACCCAAGGAATAGCTATTCATTTTGCAGCCCCTCTTCCTGCCAAAATCATCTCTGAATCCACCGTATGCCTACCACTAGCCAAATGCATTTTTGTCAGGATTGTTAGAATGTTACAAAACCTCAGGTGCTGGAGTGTTCTGGAGGTGTCTCTGGATTTTTTTTATTTTTTTTTTTTTTTTGGTACGTGTGTACCTGTGCGTAGGTGAAGTAGGTGGGAAAGTTTGTATCCACATACAATGTATTAGTACCTACAGAGAACACTGTTATCAAGCTCCTTTAACTTTACTGCAGGAGTTTGCCAAATAGGTGTGAAAGTTTCTATGTTAAGAAT